TGTCTTGGACTACTTTCACGTTTTCTACATATTGCAATGAGAAATAACCTTTCTCAAGCACTTACTTAGGTGCCATCCCATCATCACAACCTAGTCCATGAAATAGGCATAATTTTATTGAAAATACTATTATTAATTAATACTCTAATTAATTATAATATTATTATTAAATAATAATATAATTATTGATATGTTGATAAATTATTATTTGTAGATCAAGAAAACTGAGTCTTGAAGATGTTAAAAATAATTATTAAAATAGTTCATCATCTTAAATTTTCCCTTATGCTTTCCTTCTGGAATAAGGAAGTGCCTTTCTTCCTTAGTGGTGTAAATCAAAACCCAGTACCAAAGAGGTGAGCATATTATTACTCTCAGTTACACGCATTCACATAAAGTCGACTAACAAGAGTGCTAATATGTGGTCTTCCAAGACACAATTAGAAGTAAAAGTGCAACTAAGGACCTTCTTTTGATGTGGCTGGGGTGAAAGAGCAGTAGGCATGGGTCAAAAGGTAATGAGATGCATGGGCTAATCAGCAGGGACAATTTCTAGAGCCAGAATTTACCTTAAACCAAGGACATGCGACAACATGGCATGTTCTGTTAAAGTTTACTCTTGGAATAAGAGCACCACTAAACAAAAGCAATGTCTCAGACATTATTGGTTCAAATTCCTTCCTGAAAAAAATAGCTATAGACCATCTTTCGCCAATGAGCATCTAGTGTCTGCTTAAGATAGTCACTGACTTATAGGGGTATACTTTCTCTTGTTGGACAGCTGTGGTGTATTAGTTTTCTGTCGCTGCATAACAAACTTAGTGGCTTAAAACAACACAAATTTATTATCTCAGTTTCTGAGGGTTAGGAGTCTCATTAGCTAGATCATTGGCTCAGTGTCTCAAAAAACTGACATCAAGGTGTCGTCTGGGCTGTGTCCCTTCTGAAAATCAAGAGCCTCTTTCAAGATCTTTTTGTTATGGCAGGATTCAGTTGTCTGTAGCTCTGAGATAGAGATGCCCATTTTCCTGCTGGTTGTCAGCCAGCAGTTGCACTCGGTTCTCTGTTCTTAGAGACAGTCAGAGTTCCCCGCCCTGAGCCTTCCATCATCAAAATGGCAATGGAGAACCTCCCTTGCATCAAGCCCCTCTCACACTCTTAATCTCTCTAACTTCAGGAAGGACACAGTATCATTTTTGGCTCACCTGATAAGGTGAGGTCCACTCAGACAATCTTCCTTTTGATGAACTCAGCTGAGTTCAAGTTAATTAAAGCTGTAAAATCCATTTTGCCACATAACATTACATAACCACAGGAATTACAGCTCATCATATTTATGGGTTCCACCACACTCAGCTGAAGGGAATTATATAAGGGCAGGTTCAGTGGAGAGTTGTCATGTTAAAATTCTCCCACCACAGGGCGCCTGGGTGGCTCAGTTGGTTGAGCAACTGCCTTCGGCTCAGGTCATGATCTCGGACTTCCAAGATTGAGCTCCGCATCGGGCTCCCAGCTCCTTGGGGAGTCTGCTTCTCCCTCTGACCTTCTCCTCTCTCATGCTCTCTCTCACTCATTCTCTCTCAAATACATAAATAAAATCTTTAAAAAAAAAAAAAGAACTCATTATACTTTAAAAAAAAAAAAAATCTCCCACCACAGATGGTTAGGAAATTCTCCTATAATGAAAATAATCAGGCTGGGTTCTCCCAACTTCTACTCTGTTCTCCACATCAACCTTTCAACTACTGGAAGACAAGTGCCTTGACTGCTCTTTGGGGAACTATTCCCAATGTCCTTTAAATAATTGTTATTTGTGATATCCAGATATCCCTCTAAAAACGCTATGCTTCTTGTGTGAATCCTAGGATGAAATATAACTCCTTAGAGGTTTCCTAAATAGTACAGATTATAGCAGGACTATTACTTCTTCTATTATGCAGAACAGACTTCTATTGAGACAACCAAGGATTAATTTTTTATAGCAATATCATCCTGGCAACTAAAATTCAGCCGTAACCAAATAAAGAACTTTAATTACTTTCACATGCATAGCCACTAAGCCCAAGTCATTGATATTCCCACATTCTGTCACCTAGATTGTTATCTCTCCCTCATAGTAAGGCCTCAGTTGCAGATTAGATAAGCTTGCCTTCATCCAAGCTGTTAATATAAATGTTGACAAAAGACAAGAGCCAATGGAGCATGATTTTTATTTTCTTTTTTAATCCTTTGAGTAGGGTTTGTGTGTGTGTGTTTGTATGTGTGTGTGGTTTTTTTTCTTAAAGATTTTATTTATTTTTTTATTTGACAGACAGATATCATAAGTAGGCAGAGAGGCCAGCAGAGAGAGAGGGGGCTGAACAGAGAGCCTGATGCAGGGCTTGATCCTAGGACCCTGGGATCCTGACCTGAGCCGAAGGCAGAGGCTTTAACCCACTGAGCCACCCAGGTGCCCCTGTTTGTGTGTTTTTTGATAGAAGATGAAGAGTACATGATATCTAAAATAACTTAGACATTCTAAGTTCCTAATTTTTCCTACTAACTCTTCACACACTGTTTCCATAATGGTAGACCTCAAGCAATTATCACTACCCACCTTTAATCAGAGAAAGGGGAGATATTCCCAACCTCAATTTCACCTACTATATGCAGTTCTGCATTTTTCAAATTGCCCGCCATTTAAGTCCTGAGTCCTTGGATTTAAATAACTCTTTGTATTTTCATAGCACTCCCCACATTTCACACGTGGCCCTTAAAAGCCTTTTAAGTCAGGAGGGATAATTGATGTTGTTTGGGGCAACTAGCAAGGTCCCAAAAGCTGTCCACACCACGTGGTTAGCAGTGGTTCTTTCACTAAAGCCCAGTTCTGTGGTCTTGGAGTCCAGGAGTGCTCCACTGGTTCCCAGAAAAAAGTTACCATGAAGTGAAGTGCCCTCCAGTCAAATCTGTGTCCTCCATACCAAGTACCCATTTTTCCCTCTGGAGCTGCTTCCAGTTGTAATATTGACACTTAGTTGATAGGTGTTTGTACAGGCGTGGGGGTACCAACTGAATGGTTAGGCTTTGCAACACATGTGAACAAAGCATCTCTTGTGTTTCAGAGGCAGAACCAAGGTCATCTCCACAAAGTAAATGCAGCAATAGCCAAAGAGGATCCCAAAATAAATGCTAATATTGCACACAGTGTGCCTCCAGACATGCATGACCGAGGAGAGGTATCTATATTCCCTCTGTGATTAAGAGAATTAAAATACTGGGCTGTAAACTTTCAAATACGCACATCGTTAGGGAAAAATAATAAGCTACCAAAGATTTTCATGAACACTCATCTACACACTGAAAAAAACATCAGAATCAGCACAGAACTGTTGAATAGTGAACACAGGTAAGTTAGGTTTTAGTTCTTTAAATCCCTTCAGTCTAAAGATTGTAAGCACTGTAACATTGTCAAGATCAGCATGGTATAATAACAGAAGTGATGTGAACCATATTTGGAATCTAAATTTTCTAGTGGCCACGTGAAAGAAGTAAAAAGAAGTAGATGAAATCAATTTTCATAATATAGTTCATTTAATCCAATATCCAAAAGTTGTCATTTCAATGTGTAACCAATATAAAAATTACTAATGAGATATTTCACTTTCTTTTACTGTTTTCAAAATCTGGTATGTATGCTATATGTATGCTATACATACACATTTCAGTTTGGTCCATCTACTTTATTAGTGCTCAAAAACCACATGTGGCCAGTGCCTGCCTTCTTAGACAGTGCAGATATAAATGACATCATTTATTTCTCTTAGGTTAACAAAGAAGGGTATGTGGAGAGAGGGTGGGTGTGGATTTCCCACAGATCTCACAGGGAACCAGGAGGCCAAGCAGGAAACGGACACCCTTCTGCTATGTGAACCATATCCCTTGGGCCCATCCCCCTCCAGCTTGCTCTCTCTGATCCAGCCCTCCCATTCCTCTCTTTCTCATTGTCTAGCTGTGGACGTGACTGCCCTGTAAATATCATGGAGTGTGAAGGGGGAAGAAGTGGGCTGGATTTCCCACCCGTCCCTTGTAACTGAAGACCTTAGGCAAGTTACTTAACCTCCCTGATCTCAAATGTCCTTCCTATGAGATAGGATTAATCCTTCATCACTGAGTTCTGAGGATCAAATAAAATGACAAATGTAAACCTGTCAGTCCCAAACAGACACTGTAATTTTCAAGGTTTTAATGATTGTTTTTCTTTTTTATTTAAGACTTTATTTATTTGAAAGAAAGAGAGTGTGCAAGAGAGAACATGAATTGGAGGTGAGGATGGGAGGAAGGTGGCGGAGGGAGAGGGAGAGGCAGACTCCCCACTGAGCAGGAAGCCTGATGCGGGGCTCTATCTTAGGATCCCAGGATCATAACTTGACCCAAAGGCAGACGCTTAACTGATTGAACCACCGAAGCACCCCAGTAATTGTTTTTGAAGCGTATATATATTTGGTGGAAAAGGTAACAGGGAAAAAAGTGAAAACTTTAAAAAAACAGGTGTTAAATCCCAGGCCACACTACACTTTAAACCTCTCTATGCTGTTAGCATAACTTCAGCCCAAAGTACACTGAGCCTAAGTTAAACAGATATACCAAAAACCTAAGAATTTTTTTTAAAAGTTTCAGTTTTTGCCTGAGTTTGCCAACTACCTGGAGACCCAGATGATAAGGCGGAGACACCTTAATGAGTACCATGTAGGGTACATGTTGACTACTCTACAAAATGTCTAAGAAGGAAGAAGTTTCATTTGGTCTGATGCATTTAAGGATGGCAATAACTCAGTCATCTAGAAGACACAATTTTCTCAGCCCCTGCAGTTTTCCTGACTATAAAATTGTGACCTCAGATCTCAGGGAGCCTTACCATACTTAAACCTCTGCAGTTCCTAAAGCCAGCCCCAATATAGTAGCACCTGCCCACAGCCTCAGGTACTTTGAGAAGAATGTAATCACGAAAAGGGAAGACTCACCAGTTCATTCTCCTCTCCTTGGTTGAGCAAACCCCGGTGGTCCTTACTCTTGTCTTCCATCTAAACAAGACCTCCAGGATAATTCTTTGGGGAAAGTCAAAACCAGTTGGGGCTATGGGAACTCAGAACAGTCACTACTTGTCACTGCTGTTCTTAGGTGCTTTTAAAATCTCCTAGCACATACTTCACCTATCAGGCTAACAAAGAGAAGAGAGGAAATACTCTTGTCAGCCACAGGACTGGTCTACTAACCTATCGGCTTGTTGTGTTTTTTTTTTTTTCTTCCTCCCTGGTGTTTATTTGTTGAACTAAATGTGTACGCCTCTAGACTTAAGTTGTCGAACCAGAAAGACAAATAATTTCTTGTGCTGTCCCTAAATGTCTCAACTAACGAATGAGAATAGTCACTTTATTAAAATCCCAAAACAGGTGCACCTCGTTGGCTCAGTTGGTTAAGCGACCAACTCTTGATTCCTGCTCAGGTCATGAGCTCAGGGTCATGAAGCTGAGCCCTGCATGGATCTACACTCAGTGCAGAGTCTGCTTGTCCCTCTCTCTCTGTTCCTCCCCACTGTCTTGCTCTCTCAAATAAATAAATAAAATCTTAAAATAACAACAACAGCCACCTAAGACAGAAAGATTAACCAGTGAGAGATAAATAAGAACCATGTGGACTTTGGGGAAGTAATGGACATGTTGGGGTGACAAAGAGATTTTAAGGAAGGAGGGTTGGCTCCTGGCAGGGAATGTAGCAATTATTTTGGAATTAGGAAAACCTGAATTCTAATCCCTGCTCTACTGATGACGCTGGACAAATCAGGGTCATCTGAATATTAGATTATATTTACAGATATAAATGTAGTTTATATCTATAATTTATAATCTATAAATTTATAATATATAATAATATATATTATAAACATAATTTAATCTAAATACAGATTAATATAAATCTATATTTATAGATTATATTTATATTAGATTCTATTTCAATCTGCATATTAGTTTTCTAATATGTAAAATATCAATAATAGTTATAGAGTTGATAGGAAGATCTAAGATGATATTTGTAAAAAATCATCTATAGCTCCTGTCAGACTCCATAAAAGATAATCATCATCACCATCATCATAAACTAATTGAGAGAAGTTTTTTAAAAAGTAAACTATAATAATAATAATTTGGTTCTTTTCATTTTCTCTTTTTAGTTTGCAAAAGGTTTTCAGAGAAGTATATAATGCAGGAAAAATGAGAAAGGCTGATTATTAGGGATATCATATAAATTTCCACGATTATATAATCACCAGTGAATTTGATATTTTTATCAAAAAGTAAGTACACTAGGATCCATTCAAGGGCTGGTTTATTTGTTTCCAATAAACGCTTTTATCTTTTTTTTTTCTTTTTATTGCATCCAGTCCAATGAGCAAAATCCTTGCCACTTTGACCATGGAAGAAAACTTACTGGGAATCAAGACTACAGAGAATGATACTTGACTCTTTCTACTGAGAGGGAGTTATTGGGTGCCTTGAGGAGGAACTAGTGCCACCTTGAAGTTTAGAGAATCCAGTGTGCTCTCTGGCCCAGGAGGAAGTGGCTGATGAAAGTAATCAAACAGCTTTTCATGCCAGACAGGATACTGAGGTGCCCACACTATAGAATACTATGTTGTCACAAATGCTGCATTTTAAGTATCACCAATTTAAGGTAGAACTAAAATATGGAGAAAGGAGTCCTGAGCTTTGGTAGAATCTAATTAAAGACTTGAAAAGTGCTCATTCACTTCTTACCCATTAGCTATATACTAATATTTCTGGCTAAAAGAACATTTCCTTTGTCTGGCAGCCTGACTTCAGCTAAAGCACCACGATGAGTCATGATTAACCTAAGAGTGGGCACATGACCTAGTTTTCAACTATATATGCAAAGGAAAGACAACTGGGGGCAGAGGTCTTCTGGAAAAGATTATCCTATTTTTTAAATTATCCTATTGATGAAAGAGCGAGAATAACTTATTTTCTACCCATGCCAATAAAGTGAAGCAAAGGACAAAAGAGCTTAGGTCCTCATGATACCACTAAGCCATGGCACTATGGCTGGGACTACTAACTCTAGACATCTTTCCAATATATAATGAGATGTTCTTAATAAAACTGCTGCTGTTTGTGGTTTCTGCTACTTATAGCCCAAAGACACAAAATATAACACTCATCAAAACTTTGTTCAACACTTACTCAGCAATTACATGTTTAACAGCAGATATTTCAGACACTTGCCAGCCCCTTGGGATTCAGTGGCAAAAAAGAAAGTCATTACCCTGAGGGACTTTACAGATGTTTAGGAGAGACAGACCAGTAAGCAGCCTCTTAAACAGAAAGGATCTAGAACTCAGACTGAATTGCTGAGACAAGAACTGCTTCCTGAAAGAAATGACATCTATGCTGACATCTCAAAGATAAGCAGAAACTAACCAGGTGGAAGGAATGGGGTATAGTGGTGGGTTGTAAGCACAATCTAGGACAGAGAACAAAAGAGAATGTGTGACAATGTTTAAGAGAGATGAGAAAATATAGCCTGTGTGGTCTATCAAGAGAAATCAAAGTAAAACTTGAGAATGGAAGGGAAGAAGGGAGGCACTGAGCGATGATGATGGAGATGTGAACAGAGGTGTGCCTGACCACTAAGAGCTTGTAACCAGGCCAAACTGGTTAATCCATTCTGTGTGTGTGTGTGTGTGTGTGTGTGTGTGTGTGTGTGTTTTGTATGTGGCTAAAGGGCTCTCTCTACTCACCAAACCAAAGACCTTAGCTTCTTTCTATAGATGACCAATATTCTTTCAGTTAAACATGAACTCTTCTAATAATCACAACTGTTCACAAATGCCTCACAAGTAATGAGCTTCCCAACCCCAGACGTATACATGCTGACATTCGGCCTATTCACCATACAGATAATTAAGTTTTTAGGTCAAAGTTTGTATTAGGTAATCTTGAGGTTCTTTAAGTACTGAGCACTTGCTTCAGCCACCAGAGGATTTGCTCTGCCGAGAAAATTATCACATCTGCTTTAAACCCTAACTCCTGGGGTTAGGGTTTTCGATATTAAAAGATATTAGAAGTCAAACAGATATTAAAAGTCAAAAGATCTACTTTCAAATGTCCATTTTAACAGATATTAAAAGTCAAAAGATCTACTTTCAAATGTCCATAAGCAAGAGAATGCCAGTCATACCCCCATGGCTTAATCAGCCCCTTGAAGGCCACAGGTGGAAGAGTCACCAATTGTGCTTATGCATGTAGCAGGGACGTGGGGACATAGGAGTGGAGGATAGGGAGAGGATGAAAGGGTCTCTTGTGGGAGAAGTAGTTTCAGCATTGCTGGGAATGGCTTCCTCTAGGCTGCTCAGTCATAGCACTCAGGAGGTTGTAACTTAAGTTGGGACTCTCCAGATTTCTTTTCTATCTGAAGAGACCAAACTCTTGACCTCTTGTGACTGGAAGCAAAACACAGTGCCTCCTGGTGAACCCTGAAGGCAAACTCCTTATTAATGAGTAGAAGTTGTCAGCACCGTATGCCATAAGGTAGGATCTCCAGAGATAGGAGGGAAGGAAGGAGCAGAATGATGAAATGCAAAGGAAAAAGAGTGAAATGCTCACTTCATGAAAATACTCTCCTCATCTGAAGAACTGGTTCCCCCCAGAACCCTAGTCTTAGACCTAATAGGGCCTTACTGTTCAGAGTGAAGCCAGAGGAAGTAAAGGACTAAGAGTATCTCATCTCCTCTCACAGTCCCTGACTCAGGACACAATTTCCAGAAAACAGGAAAGAAACATGGAGATGGAAGGAGGTTTGCTCAGAGCTACACAACAAAATAAAGGCAGATCAAGAACTCAGAGACAGGTCTCTGGTCTGTGGTCCAGCTTATTTCCACTAGGAAATACTTCCCCCTCTTCTGCTGTATTTTCTCAAGAACTCTTTTCTGATTCTGGAGAGGTGAAGGTCCTGGGGGGATTATATGGATTAGGAGAGAAGGGATGTCTCTACCTCTAGTACATGAGCCTTATGAAATGAAGAGGCAGTATGCATGATGGAGTATATTAGAACAACACTGCACTTGGGGCGCCTGGGTGGCTCAGTGGGTTAAATCCTCTGCCTTCAGCTCGGGTCGTGATCTCAGGGTCCTGGGATCGAGCCCCACATCGGGCTCTCTGCTCAGCAGGGAGCCTGCTTCCCTTCCTCTCTCTCTGCCTGCCTCTCTGCCTACTTGTGATCTCTATCTGTCAAATAAATAAAATCTTTAAAAAAAAAAAAAAAAAAAGAACAACACTGCACCTTCTTACTTGGCTGGGACATGATTACCTATCTTCACTTCCCCATGACCTAAAGGGAAACCAGGCTGGATTTGGATGTCTTATATAGATTTCAAAGCTCCCTTGCTGTTCTCTACTAACTTATTAGGGCATCCCATTTCACAAACACTGTCGAATGTCTACACTGGCAATACTGTTTAGTTAAGGTAAGCTAACAGCTAGAACAGCCACAAAGGATAACACTTGTCAGTGGTTTAACATAGTAGAAGAGTGGGTCTAAAATTGTGGTTGTGGGAGGGCATTGGTAGAGCAGTGGAAGGAAGAGAAGTTATCCTCCAAGCAGTGATCCTGAGTCCCAGGGTCCTTCTTTCTTGTGTCTTCATCATCTTCAGCAAGTAGCTTCCAAGGCTGCTGTGGTTATTACAAAAGAAGAATGCATGGAGGATAATCAGTGAAGCTCTCTATGGACCAGTCCTGAAAGTGGTACTTTTACTCGTACTAGATTAGCTAGAGCTCAGCCAGATGCCTATACCTGACTAACTGCAAAGTTGACTAGGAAATGTGGTCCACCTGTGTGCCAGGAGGAAGAGGAAGTAAATATGGTGGTTGCTAGCAGTCTCTCCCACACAGACCCTAGGAAGTGTGAAGGGATGGATCAGGCTGGATCCTTGTCCTCAGGGGACTCAGGCCCGATGAAAGGGGAAAAACAACACAGAGGTGGCTGCTATACAAGGCAAAGTGAGGAAGGC